AAAACAAAACAAAACAAAACAAAACAAAACAAAACAAAACAAAACAAAACTTCATCAGTAGCTCGTGGTTCTGCCTTTAACTCACTCAGGGTTTTCATTGTTGTTGTTTGTTTGCTTGCTTTTCTCTTTTCTATAGATAATGCTACCAAGGCTGTGATCACCTTGCAGCCTCCATGGGTCAGTATTTTCCAGAAGGAAAATGTCACTTTATCGTGTGGCATAAAGTATGGGCCTCACCTGCCTGGAAACAGTTCCACACAGTGGTTTATCAATGGCACAGCCAGTCTGGTCTCCACGCATAGTTATAGCATCCATGAGGCCAGTTTCAAGGACAGTGGTGAATACAAGTGTCAGATAGGTCCCTCAATGCCAAGCGACCCTGTGCAGCTGGAAGTCCGCAATGGTAAGCATAGCATGGGTCAAAGGGGTGGGGAACTCCATAGTTCCTCGTGTGGGTACTAGAGTTCTGTCTGTCTGTCTCTGTCTCTGTCTCTCTTTCTCTCTGAGAGTGTATGTGAGACTTAATCTGCATGAACGTATCAGTACTAAGAACCTACCAGGTCAGATCAGGTCAGAATAGTTAAAATATCATACCAAGGCCCTGTTTGCCTGCAGCACTCCAGCTGGACCAGTTTGGGAGACAATGTCTCAAGAAAAATCTCAGACTCTAATATTTTTATCTTTGTTCAAAATTTATGCCCCCACGTCTCCAGCTCCATCCACAGCAGTCCTTTTCTGTAGTTTTTTGTTGTGTTATTCTGATTGTGTACACTGGCATCACACTGTGGTTTTAATGTATATTTCTTTGCTGATTGTGTACTGACTACTTTTACTGTGTTTATTACATGTCTTTATAAAACCTTTACAAAGTACCCGATGAGTCTTTTGGGAAATGTTTCTTTTCTTTTTTTCTTTTTTTTGGTTTTTTGATACAGGGTTTCTCTGTGTAGTCCTGGCTGTCCTGGAACTCACTCTGTAGACCAGGCTGGCCTCGAACTCAGAAATCCTCCTGCCTCTGCCTCCCAAGGGCTGGGATTAAAGGCATGCACTACCACTGCCCAGCCAAAATGTTTCTTTCTTTTAAAAATATTTTGTGCTGGCCAGCCTGGTCTATATTGTGAGTTCCAGGACAGCCAGGGCTACACAGAGAAACTTGTCTTAGAAAAAAAAACAACAACAACAAAATTTGTTTTTTACTTTTATTTATGTGTGTGTATGTATATATCTGATGCTACACATGCAGGTACATACCCTTGGTGGCCAGAAGAGGGTGTTGGACCTCTTAGAACTGGAATCACTGGCAGTCGTGGGTTCTGGGAACTAAACTTGAAAAGATATAAAAATTCATAGAGAAGTTGGAGACCCCCCATCTGAATTAAGGTTAGCAAGTTCACAGGCCTAGGTTCCAGGAACTAGCTGGCCACCCAAAGAAAAAACTAGCCAGGGACCAGGTCAGCCAGGTCGTTCCGACAAAGAATAGCAGTACTAATAATACAGGTTGGCTAAGTCACTCCAGGAAGTAGCTGACCATAAGAAAATGACCAGGTTAAGGTCATATTCCTGAATAAAATGTGTACAGGATGTTTCTCACTCCCCACCCTGGTTTATGACCAGCTAAATAATGAGTTAAGAATTCTCTACTATTTTTATGATGTGGGTTGAGATTTTCCACTGTTCCCTCTTGGTTTCCCCCTTCACTCCCCTAGTTTGTGGTTTTCTCCTTTAAATACCCCTTGCTCCCGAGCCTCGGGGTCGACGCTCCTCTTGTGAGTCTCCACCTCAGCCGGCTGATATCCTGAAATAAAACCTTTTGTGGTTTGCAGCAAGTTCGGTCTCTTTCGTGATTCTGGGTGGACGTACTCTCCTGTGGCTTGAGTGGGGGTCTCCCCTATCTGGGGGCCTTTCAAACTCAGGTCCTCTGGAACACCGGTTCTCTAGCTTCTTATTGCTGTGGCCCTTTAATGCAGTTCCTCATGCTGTCTGTGGTGATCCTCAACCACAAAATTATTTTCATTGCTATTTCATAACTGTCATTTTGCTACTAGTACAAATTGTAATGTAAACATCTGGTATGCAGGATACCTGATGTGCAATTCCTGTGAAAGTCTTTTGACCTCCAAAGGGGTCACGACCCACAGGATGAGAAACCCTGCTCTAGAAGGCAAGCAAGCACTCTTAACTGCTGAGCCATCTCTCTAGCCCCTTGGCCAATATTTCTATTGCCTCCCCTCTTCCCATACCCCATTAGCTCACAGGAATTCTTTATATATTCTGGGCATTCTCAAGTGTTGGGAATTTCTCTGTGGCTTGCCTTTCCAATGTTATAATGTCAGGTCTTCTACCCCCTTCCCACAGCCAAGGAACAAAAGTTCTTGACTGTCATTTAATATACCAGGTTTTCTGGTTACTGCCCTCCCTATTTTATTTATAAAATGTTTTGCCATGATTATGTAACAGTGGAAGATTCCACTGTGGCTACACTGACACTCAGTCAGTTTCAGTCTGGGTGTTCTAAGACACTGAGAGTTACAGTCCCTGGTAGGCAGACAGAGAGGAGCCATCTACTTTATAAAGGTAGCAAACTTTCAAGATGGCTGGCTTATTCTTCATCCCCCTGATCTGAGACAAAAGCCTGGTAGATTAAAAAAAAAAAATGTCTGGAGGGCTTTGTTTGTTTGTTTTTTTCCCCACCAGTTGGGCCCGCTGCTGATGGACCAGCCTAGGAGTTTGGCAGGATCTGTATATGCTAACATAACAGTGGTGAGGCAATCAGCTGCCAATCCTAAATTAGAAGATTCATCAAAGACTAAAAACTAAAACCAGAAAACAAAAAACCAAAAACGGCCTTTGAGAAGAGAATAAATTTTTTAGCTCCCAAATCCCACCCTGCTTTGCAGAGTCTCTGAGTGCTTGCTGTGTGTGCAGAGGCTCTGTGTGTGTGTGTGTGTGTGTGTGTGTGTGCAGAGGCTCTCTGTGTGTGTGTGCAGAGGCTCTGTGTGTGTGCAGAGGCTCTCTGTGTGTGTGTACAGAGGCTCTCTCTGTGTGTGCAGAGGCTCGCCCTCTGTGTGTGCAGAGGCTCTCTCTCTGTGTGTGCAGAGGGTCTCTGTGTGTGCAGAGGCTCTGTGTGTGTGTGTGTGTGTGCAGAGGCTCCCTCTGTGTGCTTGCTGTGGCGCATTTCCTCACCTGTAGTAATATCTCCTCCCCAGCAGATGCTGTCTACTGTGTTCATGAATTTCCCTGCTGCTGTTTGTTTGCACCCAAGCTTTTCCCTGCCTTTTAAGTCTGTAACAGGCAGAGCCTCATAGGGACTTCAGGACCAAGAAAATGAAGTTCGTTGGTGGGTCCAGGTTCTAATTGTGTGACTCAGAATGAATGTAATTTTCCTACTCGGAGGCAGTGAGGATGAGGGGCTAATGTTTGAATAGGAAATTAGTAAGCTATGTCTATATCACATAGTACAGCTAAAAGCTGTATCTTGTGTTTTTATATGAAATGCCCTCATTAAAGGTTAAAAAACACATTTTCCCTTATATGTTTAACCTAGCCAAAACCATACGTAAACAAATGTACATTGGGTACAGTATAACATAGAGAAGAGAGAACAAGAAGGAGTAAATATTGGGGTGGAGGAAGGACAGACTGCAGGTAAAGGACATGTGACCTGAAAGGGGACAGAAAGTTCATTCTTTTTCTAGGTCTATGTCTGTCATGAATTTCTCACTTTTGTTGATGGATAGGTGCATAAAAATATATCCCATAGTGCAACCCAAATGTGACTCCCCACAGCTGCCATTTGGAATGGCTATTCTTGCTGTATAAAAGTTCATTGAGATCTTGAAACTTGAGTCCAGCTAATTTCAGTGTATATATATATTTTTTACCTGTGTTTTGATAATTTCATATGGAGATACATAAAAATCTTCTACTGTGTTTCAGACATAAAGCAAACACATAAGTGTGTCTAGACAGTGTGGGGTGGAGTTTCTGGGTTGGGGACAGGAATAGATACAAGAAGGAACTGCATTTAGAAGGAATGAGGCAGTGGCTGAGACCATGGGGGGTGGGGGCGAGTGTGCACAGCTGCTGAGAATGGACCATAGAGGGCGCTAGTGTGCACAGCTGCTGGCACTGTCGGTTTTCTTTCAAGAAAGCTGAGAGGTTTGAGAGTGAGACAAGTGTGGACCATAGTGGAGATTGGGGTTGGAATGTTTCAGGTAAAAGATATAAATATCTCCAGGGCCAAGATTTGGCCTCCCCACACTCCCTCTGTTGCATGCAAACACCGTGGGCCTTCACTTTTCAGATAAGCTGCTACTCCAGGCCTCCCGCAGAGTCCTCACGGAAGGAGAACCTCTGGCCTTGCGGTGTCACGGATCGAAGAATAAGCGGATGTACAATGTGATTTTCTATCGAAACGGAAAATCCTTTCGGTATTCTCGAGGTTCTGAGATCACCATTCTGAAAAACAACCCGAGTCACAGCGGCATGTACCACTGCTCAGGCAAGGGAAGAAGACTGCGCTACACGTCTGCAGAAGTGTCTATCACAGTGAAAGGTATCCAGTCTAGATAGCACGAGTTAGAGTTGTAAGACCAGAAGAGCCACTACAAAAGCATCTGCAGTCCTCACTGAAACTTAAAAAGGAGAAAACTGAGTCCTACGAGGCAAACAACCTCCCTGAAGGTCACCACCCAATGACCACTGGCTGAGCTAGACCCAGATGTGAGGTCTCAGCATTGCAACCCACTGCTCTTTGCAGCATCCGCAATGGCCCAACAGTGTCACAGTCAGGGGATAGTGACCATCCCTTCATCAACTTATTTTAGCCCTAAAGCCAGAGATTCTAGGTAGTCAAGAGGGTTTTTTTGTTTTGTTTTTTAATAGTCCAGTTAAATCTCATGAAATTTCCATAGAAATAAAAACCAGAAAGACCTTAGGAACCAGTTATATTTTGTGCTTATGTGTCAGGGACATGTATCATCTCTGGGCCCACTTCTCTGTAAGCATCTGGAAAGCAATCTTCTTTGTCAGAGTTCCACAAGGTCTTTGTTCTCTTTCCAAGGCTTACCTTCTTCGTGCTCAAGTTCACTGCCAAGGTGTTTCGGTCCTAAAAATAGTCCATATCTAGGGGGAAGAAATTGTTGTTTCAGCTTCTCATTTGAATAGCACAAGTAACAAATGACCTAGCTGGCAAGTGCATCTTAGCGCTGACTCTGGGTGGCTACGCACGTGGAACTCTATGGCCTCCTAATAAATAGAGCCACGCAGCGGAGAGTTTTTGTGTAATGAGAAGCCCCTCAGCTGGAGGTCATGCAGCCATGGCTTTTAGAAATCATGCCTCACTACTGGCAATGGGGGAAACCCATTTTCTTGAGGGCTAAGGGTAGAGTCTCATGAAAAGAACAGTGACATAGAATGGAACGCCCTGTCCCCTGTCAACTTTCTCTTTAGAGCTATTTGCCATACCAGAGCTGAAAGCATCCTTGTCATCTCCCGTCCCGGAGGGGAGTCAGGTCACCCTGACCTGTGAGACAAAGATGCTTCTGCAGAGTCCCGGCTTACATCTTTACTACTCCTTCTACATGGGTGACGAGATGCTGGAGGCCAAGAACAAAACATCCTCAGAGTACCACATACCCAGTGCTAAGAGAGAAGATTCTGGATTGTACTCGTGTGACGCAGCCACGGAGGATGGCAACGTCCTTAAGCACAGCCACGACATGAGGCTCCGAGTGCTTGGTGAGTGCGAGGGGAGTGGGGCTGAGGGTCACTCAAGGGTCTGTATCCAGCCTGGAAGGGGAACACCTCATGTGCAGGGCCCCATGCTTCCTTCAGAACTGCAGTCTTCCTCTAGCCTCCCTGACTTTCCTCCCTCTCCTCTCCTTCCCTTCCCTTTCTTTTATTCCTCTTCCTTCCTTCCTTCCTTTATCCCGTTTTCCCTCCTGATGTTTTCCTTCATTTTGACTTCCTCCCTGCAGCCCTCTCTCTGCTCCCCCTTTGCTACCCTCACTCACACTCACTACAGAGGACATTAGGATTGTCTCGGTTGCTGTGATGAAACACCAGGACCACATGCAAGTTGGGGAGGAAAGGGTTTATTTGGCCTACATTTATACAGCACTGTTTATCACAGAAGGAAGTCAGGACAGGAACCCAAACAGGACAGAAACCTGGAGGCAGGTGCTGACACAGAGGTCATGGAGGGGTGCTGCTTACTGGCTTGCTTATTGTGACTTGTTCAGCCTGCTTTCTTATAGAACCCAGGACCGCCAGCCCACACTACCAACAATGAGCTGAGCCCTTTCCTATCAATCACTAATTAAGAAACTAGATGGGTTTTATGGGGGCATTTTCTCAATTGAGGTTCCCGCTTTTAAGATGACTCTCAATTGTGTCAAGTTGACATAAAACGAGCCAGGACAAGAGTGCACCTTTTGATTTGACGAATTTACATTATGGCTTTACATTTTGTCTTCATATATAACATAGTCTCCTGCCTTTATCTGACTGGAGTGGAGGGTTCATGAGTTCCAGAACCAAGGCTCTGGCAGGGAAGAATCTTCAAACCTGCTTCAAGCGTTAAAGACAGAAAGAGCAATGGTTTCTGGAGTTCAGGAGTGACATTCCCAAGGAGCTTGCTTCACCTAGAGGGCCCAAATGGAACTGCTGGAAGTTCCTTCCTGTTTCCTGAGTTTACTTTCTGGAGACAGCTTTCTTCAGTCTTTTTCTTCCAAACATAACTTGGCTGCATCCCTCCAGTGTCTCAAGGATTGCTTCTCTGTTCTAGGTCCCCATTATTCATCAGCTCCTGTCTGGTGTCACATCCTGTTTTACCTGTCTGTGGGAATAATGTTTTTGTGATCACAGTTCTCTATGTGAAAATACACAGACTGCAAAGAAAGAAAAAATACAATTTCCAAGTTTCTTTGGTTTCTGAGCAGAGGAAGAAAGCAACTTCCTTTCAGCAAGTTAGAAGTGATGATGACATGTCTGAAGAAGTAACAGCCACTGTAAGACAGAACACACCTGGAGATCAGGGGGTTCTGAGTACTTCCTGCTCTTCCAGAAGACTTGAGTTCAGTTTTTGTAACTGCTTGTAACTCTAGTTCCAGGGGGTCCTGATAACTTTTTCTGGCCTCTTTCAGGCACCTACATGTGCATGGCCTACAGACACAGACATATGAACAAGAACAATTAAAAAATAAATCTTAAAAAAAAAAACCGAACAACGTCAAAAACCACCGCAGCTCTTACCTCAAAAGGAATATATATATAAATTATGAGGGAATATACATGTAAAAATAATACAAATAAATCTTTAAAAAATAAAAAAATAAAGATGTCTCATCAGTTAAAGAACTTATAGTGCTTATTTTAGTTATTTTTCTACTGCTGTGAAGAAACATCATGACCAAGGTAACTTACAAAAGAAAGCCTTTAACTGGGAGCTTGCTTACAGTTTCAGAGGGTGAGGCCATGACTGTCATGGCAGGCAGGCTTGGCAGTGTAACAGTAGCTGAGAGCTTACATCTTTTTGACAGATGGAGGCAAAACAGGGGAAGGAGAAGGGGGAGAGACAGACATGGGCCTGGCCTGGACTTTTGAAACCTCAAAGCCCATCCCCAGTGACATACCTCCTCCAACAAGACTACACCTCCTAATCCTTCCTAAACAATCCAACTGGAAACCAAATATTCAAACATATGAGCCTTTGGGGGCCATTCCCATGCATGTTGCTCTCCCTGAGGACCTGAATTCAGGTCCCAGCACCCATGCTGGCAGCTCTTAACAATAACCACCTGTAGCTCCAGCTCCAGGGCCTCTGATGAGCACATGTGTGTTCACACACACAGATACATATAGATAGGAATATTAAAAAAATAAAAATAGCCTTACAAAACCACAGCTCTTGTCTCAAAAGGGCCTAGAGGTCGTTTATTGTGGAGCCAATCTGAGTGAGCAGGGCCTGGGAATGCAGTTTTAGGATAACTGAATCCCATGATTCAGTGAAGTGACAGTTGGATGAAGAGGCAGGCAGATTATAGTGAAGAGATCTCTGCTGTAAGTCTCAGCCGCTGTGTGATTACAGGCTTAGCCTTTGGATTGGTGGGAGCTAGGGCTCTGGACCTTTTGCGTTAGTCAGGGTTCTCTAGAGTCACAGAACTTATGGAATGTCTCTCCATATTGAGGGACTTTGTTATGATGACTTACAGTCTGTGGTCCAACTCCTCAACAATGGTCAGCTGTGAATGGGAAGTCCAAGAATCTAGTAGTTGCTCAGTCCCATGAGGCTGCTTGTTTAAGGGTCTTCTGTAGAAGTAGGTTCCAACAGATGTGCTAGCAAGTAAGTGCAAGCAGTGCAAAAGCGAGTCTTCCTTTTTCCAGTGTCCTTTTGTAGACCTCCAGCAGAAGGTGGGGGCCAGATGAAAGTGTGTATCACCACTCCTGGATCTGGGACCTGCTTTGTCCCGGGCTGACCTCAAACTCCTTGCCTTAGTCTCCTTAGTCTCCTGGGATTGAAGGCATGTACTACCTTTCCTGGACCTAAACTTTTCATGGCCACTATACCTCAAGATTTCCATGTTAAAATCCAGGTCAGAACCTTGTGTCTTCCAGCCTCAAGATCAGGATCACAGATGAGCCCTCCAATTCTGGATTGTAGTTCATTCCAGATAGAGTCAAGTTGACATCACACCTTTCTTTTTTTTTTTTTGTTTTTTTGTTTTTGTTTTTTCGAGACAGGGTTTCTCTGTGTGTACCCCTGGCTGTCCTGGAACTCACTCTGTAGACCAGGCTGGCCTTGAACTCAGAAATCTGCCTGCCTCTGCCTCCCAAGTGCTGGGATTAAAGGCATGCGACACCACCGCCCGGCTGACATCACACCTTTCTAAAAGATTTATGTATTAGTCACAGAGATGTTATGTCTTAATTAGGGTTTTACTGCTGTGAACAGATACCATGACCAAGGCAACTCTTATAAGGACAACAATTATTTGGGACTGACTTACAGGTTCAGAGGTTTAGTCCAAGGTAGGAATATGGCAGTATCCAGGCAGGCATGGTGCAGGAGGAGCCAACCATTCTATTTCTTCATCTGAAGGACGCTAGGAGAAAACAGGCTTCCAAGCAGGTAGGATGAGGGAGTAGGATTGTTGGGAGCCGACTCTTAGCCGAAAGTGGCTATCATCTTTACAGCCATCTCGAGCCATATACCCTGACAAGAGACTTGTTTCAACAGCCTGCAATAGCTGAGCGCACTCTGATAAACATCTTGTTACACTGTTTAGTGCCCCCAGCTGCCAGGTGCTCCTGGTATCCATGGCTACAAGGCACGTGACGTAGTGGCTTCAGTTGAGATTGTCCACGAGGGCAAGTCACGTGGTAAAGGGTATAAATACCCAGGATTTCCCTTCTATAGGGGAGTAGAGGAGTAGAGGAGTCGAGGAGGTAGAGGTAGAAAGTAGGAGGTAGAGGTAGTAAGTAGTAGGAGGTAGTAGGAAGTAGGAAGTAGAGGAAGGAGAGAGAAAGTGAGAGGTGTCAGGAGACTGAAGGAGTGAGAATATAGTAAGAAGAGAGGAGAATAAAGAAGACTTGAAGAGACTCCACCGGACTCTGGCTTGTATCTATCTTTTGCGTCTCTCGCCCCTATTTTCCCCTTCCTCCGTCCCCACTTTCTCTCTTGCTAGACCCTGACCTGCCGACCGGAGCAGCAGAACCGGCCGGCCTTTACAAAGTAGCAGAACCTGACGGCCGTTACAAAAGAAACGGCAGTTACACAGGATGGCACACCTACTCCAACCAAGGCCATACTCACTCCAACAAGGCCACACCTCCAAATAATGGCACTCCCTGGACCAGGCATATTCAAACTACCACATTAGATCTCAGGCAATGAATGACTAACAGGCCAAGATGATTTTGGCTCCCACCTAAAGTTCTAGTTCTCCACAGCCAGCTACCTTTGTAGATGGCTAGCATGTGCGTGGCTTTTTCCTAGGAACTGTAGTTAACAAAAGATCACTTCCAAAGTACAGTCTGAAGTTTGATCTCCCTGTGGTCCTGTCTTGCTTCCTTGCTATGGTACACCAGTGTTCATCCTGAGAAGTGGCTTTGCATCCCAAACACTCATAGCCCGTTTATAGAAAGTTTGAGACAATTAAATAGCACAACAACTATTTATAAAGCCTTTGGAGTCTTACAAAACCCCTTTGCTCAAATAATACTTTCAGGGACTGTAATCCATTTAGCGTAAGCATGTACATGCATGTGTGTGCACAGGTGTGTTCATCTGCTTGTGTAGAAGGCCAGAGGTTGCCTTCCCGTGTCATTTTCTATCACTCACCATCTGATCTTTGCAGGCAGCGTCTCCCACTCGACCTAGAGCTGGCCAGCAGCGCCCCCTCCAGGATAACCCCCAACCCTGCACCACCAGGGTTACAGACAGCTTACAGACAAGTCTTGCCAGTCCAGTCTCTTAGGTGGATGCATGAACTCAGTACAGCAAACACTTTGCCCACTGCCCCTTCTCCCTGGACTGACAAATTCTTTCTTTAGTGTGTCTGTAAGGTGGATGTGTGTGTGGGTATGAGTGTGGGCGTGTGCACACTGTCATGCCCATGTGAAGGTCAGAAGACAGACTTTGCTGCAGGTCCTCACAGGGTCTCTGTTGTTTGCCTCTGCACACATCAGGTATTCTGGAGACTGTCTCTCTCCACTATTGCCTTAGTGTAGGAAGTGGGAAATACAGACGCTCACCACTGTGTGTGGCTTCCCATGGGCTCCAGGGATTCAAACTCAAGCCTTCATGCTTGTGTGGCAAGTGCTTTTGTCCAACGAGTCATTTATGTTTATTATTTAAAATTAATTATAATTTTTATGTACATTGGTGTTTTGGCTGCATGCCTGTCTGCCTGTCTGTGTGAGGGTGTAAGATTGTGAGCTGCCATGAGGGTGCTGGGAATTGAACCCAGGTCAATATTGGAAGAGCAGCCAGTGCTTTTAACTGCTGAGCCATCTCTTCAGTCCTGAGTCATTTGTTTTAATTAATAACAACAACAAAATAAGTAAAAATTAAACAAAAATTGGTAATAAAACCCCACAAACCAACCAACCAAAAAAACAAAAACAAAAACGAAAAACAACCCCCACCCCAAAACCCCAAACCAACCAACCAACCAAAACCATTCACATCTGATGGCATTTGCCACCAGACAGCAAGCTTGATATTTCTGAATGATCTAATCTAATAGCTTGTCACATCAGGAGTTGTACATACCTTACCTTACAAAGCAAACTATTATCTTTCCTCTCATGTGCAAGGGAACGTCTTTGTTTCTGATTGTATTTTTGTGAACTAGTTATTGTTGAGGAGTCTGGATCAAGTTGTTTTTCTGTCAATTAAAGAATTAAAAGGCAGAGGAGATCTCCAGTCCAAGAGGTAGCAGCAAGGAGGGTTCCAGACACAGCTGCAGAAGCAATGGATGAAAACCACTTTTATTAAAACTTTTATTAAAGGCAAGGGATCTCTCTCTCTCTCTCTCTCTCTCGCTCTCGCTCTCTCTCTCTCTCTCTTACACACACACACACACCACATGCACACCCCCCGAATGCTTGTGTACACGAGTATCACCGCACACCAGCAAGGCAGCAGAGGCTCACACAGTCTTTGGTGGGCTGGAATTTGGTGGGGGTTCCCTTTCCCTGTTTAGGGTTGTTCAGTTTAGACAAAGAAATAAAACCAGATTCTGGAGGTACCAGTAGGGGATCTGAAGTTCAGGTTATCCTTGGGTATTCAGTGAGACTGGGGCCACCCTGGGCTAGATGCTGATAAGCTGATAAGCTTTGTATGGTCAAGGCCAGGCCTCAAGCCTACTTGAGCAGCATAGGGAATGTGTGGGAGCAGCTAGTGGGAGAGGATAATCCTGCTAGCCTTTTGTTGCAAGTTGCCAGGCCTTTGCCTCTGGTCAGAAGGATGAAAAACAAGCTGGAAGTTTCCCTGTTTGTTTGTTTT